AAATTTTAGATGGGAGCAAATGATGTGATTATAGTAATATTTCAAGAGTAAAAAAGCAAAAGAGTTACAGCTAAGGACACGCAGTTAGTGCAAAACAACGTATGTACCTATCGTAAGTTATTGCTTATAGATAATACAAAGCTTTAAACAACAGGACCTTTCCCTTTGCAATGGCAGTGGGATGCTAAGAGACAGAGAAATGACAAAGCAGGTTAATAATGAAGGGACACAGTCACCAACACCGTGATCAAGCTCACAAACTACAGTGATGTGTTCAAGCACATTTTCTCTTTACGGCATATATTTTTCTGTAAACAAGGATTTGTAAATGTGCAGGAAATTATTGGTTAGCATCCTTCTGTGGTCTAGTTGTGTTAATACTTGTAGTTAAATGTGGTATTTCATTTTCTTTGATTACCTATATTGTGAAACATATTTTCATACAGCCTAATTGGTGATTCTTTTCTAGAATATGTCAAAATTGATTTGTAGCGATTTGTTCCTCCATTCACTCAATACACATTAATGATGTGTCTATTAAAAGTTAAATACTGTGTAAAATACTAAACTATAGAAAAATACATGCTTCACCTTAAATGAATTAACAATTTTATAATATAGAAGAGATAAAAACACAAAAATTGATACACTTGGAAAAATTTGTAAGAGCAATACATTTACAAAATAAATTTAATTTCAAAAAAGAAAATAGATTTATGTGTTCTGATCTAGATGGTTATACATTCTATCTTATTAAATAAAAAAAAAATCTCAACAGAAAGGTAAAGCATAATTCTATTTTTGCTGAAACAACAAATATATCTACATATCTATATCTACATCTGAAGATAGATTATCTTTACAAGAACAGAAAAGATTTGGAAGTGAATATGACAAACTTAATTCTCGAAGATAGGATTTGAAGGTCAAAGGGGATTTAATTTCTTAATTGGGGATTTTCTTTGCCTTAGAAATTATAGTTGATTTTTACTTTCATTTTTGTGGTTTTTNTTTTTAAATATTTTCCAGTGAGTTTAAATCAGAAGGGTCATAAGAGAGATAAAGTACATAAATGTTTGGAAGAGATACAGATCACTTTAGCTAGAGAAATTAGGTAAAGTTTCTTTAGAGGAAGTGCCATTTTGGCATAGGCTGTACAGTATGGGCAGAATTTGACTATAAAGAGACCTGGAGAAAGGCCTCCTCCCCGCCCCCCAGACCAAGGAGTGGGGAGACAGTGGGTGGGGGAGAAGAACTTGAGAGTGAGATGGCAAAGAACAGAGATGTTTCTACCCATCAGTATCACATTAACTTCTTTAGTGGATTTCTTTATTGAACGGGACAAAGTCCATCAGAAGACGGAGATAGGTAAGATCTGAGGTTGCCCAGGGAGTACCTATATACTTGGCTTACAAAGATGGTCCTCTTCCATTAATTTGAAAACTCATCAAAATTTGAATATGCTTAAAGAATAGCATTATGATGACTTCCTTGAGGAAGAGAAGAGGAAGAACAACGAATGAATTAAAGTTTAGGTGTGAAATGAACTCTGTAGAGTAAATAAAACAGATACAATTGTAAGATACTCCTTTCGTTACTTTAGAATCACTTATCTTTGCTTTCCTGAGCAAGATAAAGCCATCAGACCATGATGAAATAGCCACAACTTCTAATAGCTCCTTTTATATGCAAACAGGCCAATTAGTTGTGAGGTGGCTCTTTTAATGTAAAAATCATGGTGGAGTGATGCTTCTGCTGTTGACAGAAGCAGAGAAAATGACTCCAAAAGGTTAGGGTGGCTGCAGTATCTGGATGATGACTTAAGCCCTGATTCTTTAGCTTTGTGGAAGGAACAAGATCCTAAAGTCAACAGTCTTCAACTCCTTGCTCTTAGAGGAATCACTAATTGCATCCATCACCAGGACCTTGAGAATATACAATCTATTATGGACAATGTTTTTGTCCTGCCTCCTCCCCCCTCCGCAAATTCATATGTTGAAGCCCTAACCCTCAATGNGGGGGGGGGGGGAGAACTCGAGAGTGAGATGGCAAAGAACAGAGATGTTTCTACCCATCAGTATCATATTAACTTCTTTAGTGGATTTCTTTATTGAACGGGACAAAGTCCATCAGAAGACGGAGATAGGTAAGATCTGAGGTTGCCCAGGGAGTACCTATTTACTTGGCTTACAAAGATGGTCCTCTTCCATTAATTTGAAAACTCATCAAAATTTGAATATGCTTAAAGAATAGCATTATGATGACTTCCTTGAGGAAGAGAAGAGGAAGAACAACGAATGAATTAAAGTTTAGGTGTGAAATGAACTCTGTAGAGTAAATAAAACAGATACAATTGTGAGATACTCTTTTCGTTACTTTAGAATCACTTATCTTTGCTTTCCTGAGCAAGACAAAGCCATCAGACCATGATGAAATAGCCACAACTTCTAATAGCTCCTTTTATATGCGAACAGGCCAATTAGTTGTGAGGTGGCTCTTTTAATGTAAAAATCATGGTGGAGTGATGCTTCTGCTGTTGATAGAAGCAGAGAAAATGACTCCAAAAGGTTAGGGTGGCTGCAGTATCTGGATGATGACTTAAGACCTGATTCTTTAGCTTTGTGGAAGGAACAAGATCCTAAAGTCAACAGTCTTCAACTCCTTGGTCTTAGAGGAATCACTAATTGCATCCATCACCAGGACCTTGAGAATATACAATCTATTGTGGACAACGTTTTTGTCCTGCCTCCTCCCCCCTCCGCAAATTCATATGTTGAAGCCCTAACCCTCAATGTGATGGTATTTGGACATCGGGCATTTGGGAGGTAATTACGGTTAGATAAGGTCACAAAGGTGGGGCCTTCATTATGGCATTAGTAGCCTTATAAGGAAAAAGAAGATAGAGATGTCTCTTTCTCCATCATGTTAGGACACAGGGAGAAGGCAATCATCTGCAAGGCAGGGAGAAGCCCTCACCAGAACCTGATCATGTTGGCACTCTGATCTCAGACTTCCAGCTTCCATAATTGAGGAAATAAATTTTTGTTGTTTAAGCCACCCAGTCTATAGTATTTTGCTAAGGCAGCCCTAGCTAACTAAGATAGAATTTGGTACTAAGAAGAGGGGTGCTGCTGTAACAAATATTTTAAAAAATGGAGCAACTTTGGTACTGGTTATTCAGTAGAGATTAGAAGAGTTTCAAGGTATATTCTAGAAATACAGATGTTAAGAGCAATTCTGGGTCTCAGACAGAAAAGAGGAACATGTTATTGGAAACTGGAAGAAAGGTGATCCTTATCATAAAGTGGCAAAGATCTTGCTCGCATTGTGTTCTAGTTTTTTATGGAAGGTAGAATTTGTGAGTGATAAAATTATATATTTAACTGAGAAGATTTCTAAGCTAAATGTTGAAGGAGTAGCTTGGTTCCTACTGATTGCTTATAGTAAAATGTGAAAGGAGAGAGATGAATTGAAGAACAAATTGTTAAACTAAGAGAAACCAGAAATTAAAGATTTGCAAAATATTTTACCTATCCATATTACAAAAAATGAGAAAGTTGTTCTGAAGGAACACTAAGGGTGTGAATGAATAACCAATTGATACAGAGACTGTGGGTGTGATTCATGAACTTAATCAGCCATCTCAACAGAAGATAGAAATAAAGATGGGATTATACCAGCAGAAATACTGCCAGTTTGAATTAAAAGGGCCAGAGAAGGGGATGAAAGGCTGTCAGACTTTTTAGATTTTACAGGACAGAACCACAATGCTATTTGGCTGTGAACATGTGCCATCCTTCAAGGGAAGAAGCACCCCAAGGGTGACTGAGAGATCATCAGGCTACCATTCCTACCACAGGTCAAGAGTGCACTGGACTGGGGATAGGGCTGCCTCCATCTCAGTTTCAAAGGGTAGGACCACTACCTGGCAGAGTTGCTGGGTGAAGCCCTTACAGAGAGCCTTGTGGGTAGCGGCACTTGTAGAGAGCCACTTAAGTGAGTCCCTCTCCTCTGCTCCCAGTCATCGAAGTGATGCTGACACCCCAGTAGACCTGGAGAGCTTTGAACCAAAGAAGATTATTCTCCAGCCTTAAGATGTAATGGAATTTGCCTTGCTATGTTTTGGGCTTGCTTGGGACATGGTACTCTTTTCCTCTTTCCTATTTCTCTATTTTGGAATGGAATTGACTATGCCACCATTATATTTTGGAAACATATAACTTGTCTGGTTTTACAGGTTCATGGCTGGAGAGGAATTTTGCCTCAAGATGAATCATAACTTGAGTCTCACTGATACCCAATTTAGGGTATTTAGATAGACTTTGGACTTTAGACTTTAGAGTTGATGCTGAAATGAGTTGAGACTTTTGGGGCTGTTGGAATGGAATGGACATATTTTGATGTGGGAAGGACATGAATTTTGAGGGGCCAAAGGTGAAATGTTATGTACTGAATGTTTGTGTTCCACCCAAAATTCATATTTTGAAGCCCTAACTCTCAATATAATGATATTTGGAGATGAGGTCTTTGGCAGGTAATTAGTGTTAGATCAGGTCATGGGGGTAGAACCCTCATGGTGGGATTATTGACTGGCCTTATAAAAAGAGGAAGAACCCTCTCTCTCTCTCTCTGTCAGTCATGTGAAAACACAACATCTGGCTGTAGTCTGTAAGCCAGGAAGATAGTCCTCACCAGAAACTGACCATACTGGCACCCTGATCTTAGATTTCCAGCCTTCATATATGTGAGAAGATAAATGTTTTTTAAGCCACCCAAATCTATAGTATTTTGTTATGGTAGGTATTTTCTTAAGTAGATATTTACATTATGCAATAGCTCACAAAAATTGTATAGAATATGAGTTTTATCATTTTTTAAATCTTTTTTTATAAAAGAATTTCTTAGTGTAAGAAATGTTTCCTTTGAAAGGAAACTACTCTAATTAGCCACTGAACTGAGAACCCGGAAGCCAAATGACAAATAGGAATCCAACAAGGTAGGGCATGAATTGTGTTGTATTAATAACTCACAATCACCTTGGTGAAGTGTGTCTGAATTAGAGTTCTACACTGTGACTGCAAAATGACTTTTTAAAAACAAACACATATATTTACATAAGATATTTAGTGAGTTGTATTGATTTCTCTTCTTGGGGAGTTTATAATATCCACATTATTCATTTATCTGTGTAATTTATTGTGAATTAAATGTGACATGGTTGGTCCCATATGTAGGACAGTGAATTAATCTGTGCACAAATCTCAAGGAGTGTTATCAGCATCACATGGCATAGATGTTTTCAGCTCTCAACCAAACTTCTTGGTTCTCAGTAAATAATTCATTCTTTCATTCTAAAATAGAACTTGCTGGAAAAATATCCAGAAGAAAATGCAATTCTATCATACCCGGCCTCTCAGCAGCTCATATGCAGTCACTCCCAGGGACCACCAGTCAACAGCAAAGGAATATCCTGCTTCTCTTCTGGAGTTGAACATTTCAGGTGCTGAAAAACAAGGAAAAGTTAGGCCAGTTTTACTCTCTGAAACATTAACACATCTGTTTTGCCAACATGTTGCTCCACAGGAGAATTACCAGGGTAAAGGGTATAAACACTTTTCTGGATGTTTATCATCCATTGCTAGATTGCTTACGGCAGGCAAATATTTCTAATTTTCTAATTTCTCTTAGTAGCCTCATTCTTCAATCAACACACAGGCATGCACAGGCATGCACAGGCCTTAATGGGCAAACTCTTCTCTTATTTAGTTAATGCACCTGTTAAAAATTGGGTCCTACTGGGCCTCAAATATGTGGCAGACCCCGAAATCCAGAAGGCTGAGAAGATGTTATTTGCTGTCTTGCTCTGGAAGGTTTGCATTAAGGGATCTACATTTGTATTACAGTTACAAACACTCAGAATTCGGTGCAACATACATCAAATAGGCTTTCCAACTTGCGTCACCTGGAAGCAGCAAGGGAAACATTTGTTTGCAGCCTACTGTTGGGGGTGAGGGAGGGAGTGGGCACTCTGGGAAATACAAGGTTTTACAACAACTGTGGGTCGTTTACACCTTGTAACCATTGTTCTTTGAATTGACTCCAATGGAAGGCAGAGCTATAATCAATTTTAGCCCCAGAGATTACCCCTCGGTTATGCATTCTCTAAGCACTTTGACATATCATAAACCTTCCACATATCCTTTCAAGAAAAAATATAACTCCTGAGGTGTGGGATAGGGAGAATGAAATATAAAACAAGGGCAGGTATCTTGCCTCCTTGTTCAGCACTACATTCCTAGTATCTAGTACAGAACCTGGCATTCAGAGTCACTGGACAGAAACTTGTTGAATGAATGAACAAATAAATCAATTACTCAAGTAATGGTTGTGATCATTAATTCTGGAGCTGTTCTGTCTGGGTTCAAGTTCTGCCTTCACCACTTGTGACCTTGAGCGAGTCAGTGGCCGAGCCTGAGAATCCTCATCAGCAAAATCAGAATAATAAGAAGGCAGTCTTTATAGAGTTAGACATTAAATGAGATGATACATGTCAAAATCTCTGTACACTGTCTTGCACTTACAAAGTTCTGAAAAATACCAGTACTCTTCTAGAGAGGAAAACGTCCACAGTAATGGAGAAATTTGCCTCCTTGAAAGGTATACATGGGTTGATCCCAAGCCTCTTGCAGAGAGGTGCTGGATCTGGGCAAAAAGAAACTGCTATGACATGTACCTACACACAAAGGCTTGCACTGCTCAGTGCACTAAAGTTCCTTCTAAGTAAAATCCTGTGAACCACATCCAATTAGAGAGGCAGAATGTTGACATCTAATGCCCAGGACTGACCCTGACTATAAGAGTTTGATGTAGCAGCATGAAGTAGGCCTCACTCCCTAGCGGATTCTCCTTTCACGCATCACTGAATTCTTTCTGCAAGTCACAGCTCCCAATGCAACTTGGGAGATAATGACCTTGACCCCACAACACTCCTACAGACAGGATGAAATGGACTATATTTTTGCTTTCCTTTCTCAGTATCTCACAGCAAGTCATCTCAGACAGACCCCAAGGGACAGGTGACAGACTGACACTTACAGAAGCTGCAGAGAACTTTAAGGGATAATCAGACCCATTGTGCTAAGAAAATGCCTAACAGAACAAACATTACTTTATAAAAGTTGTATATTCTGTCACATTGGATCATCTTAGGAGTTTATGTGAGTAATCTTTCTTTCTTTTTTCCAGCTTTATTTAATGAGTATTCTTTTCCTCCTGCTCTCCTTGCTCTATTGTCAGGCATGAAGACATTTGGATATGCATTCATTTATTCAACAAATATTCATGATGTGCTAGGTACTGAGGAATTTTGGTAGAGCATTAAAAAAGAAAGGTCATGACCACATACAAAAGCATAACAGATGGGTAATTCTTTGAGCCCTCAACTAGGTGAAAACCACAGCAGGAAGATACTGAGGGGCTTTCACCAGCCCTTCAAGAAAATCCCCAGTTCCTGAAAGGGTGCAACTAGAGTTGGAGACAGACTCAGTTTCCTTCAAAAAAGCCACTGAGCATTTTGTTTGGTATTTTTTTTTAAGTATTTCTATACAGACATTCAAAAAAGTAAATAAAACATAAAAGAAGAATTTAACAAATAGTTATAAGCAAATGCCGAGGGTGCAACTAGAGTTGGAGACAGACTCAGTTTCCTTCAAAAAAGCCACTGAGCATTTTGTTTGGTATTTTTTTTTAAGTATTTCTATACATACATTCAAAAAAGTAAATAAAACATAAAAGAAGAATTTAACAAATAGTTATAAGCAAATGCCTATGTAAACCATCATACAGGTCAAGAAATACAAGCTGGCTCCCACAACTATGCCCTGCCCTGTTCACAGCCCCAGAATTCACCATCTTGACATATATGTTAATAATTTTCTGGGCCGGCCCGGTGGCGCACTGGAGAGTGCGTCACTTGGGAGCGCGGTGGTGCTCCCGCCGAGGGTTCGGATCCCATGTGGAGACCGGTTCCTGCTCACTGGCTGAGTGTGGTGCGGGTGCAACACCGAGGGTTGTGATCCCGTTGCCGGTCCCTGGTACGGGCGCGATACCGAGGGTTGCGATCCCGTTACCAGTCAGTAAAAGGAAAAAAAAAAGGACAAAAAGGAAAAAATAAATAAATAAATAAAATAATTTTCTTGCTTTTTTTTGATCCCGTTGCCGGTCCCTGGTACAGGCGCGATACCGAGGGTTGCGATCCCGTTACCAGTCAGTAAAAGGAAAAAAAAAGGACAAAAAGGAAAAAATAAATAAATAAATAAAATAATTTTCTTGCTTTTTTTTTTTTTAACACAAATTTACTCTCTCTATATGCATTTCTAAACAATAGTTTTGCATATTTATATATAGCTCCCAGGAGCTGTAGATGAACTGGCTGAGGTACTGCCCAGCTGTCCACCTGTTTATCTAACTTATTTCAGTGCTTTAACACAAATTTACTCTCTCTATATGCATTTCTAAACAATAGTTTTGCATATTTATATATAGCTCCCAGGAGCTGTGGATGAACTGGCTGAGGTACTGCCCAGCTGTCCACCTGTTTATCTAACTTATTTCAGTGCTTTATAATAAAGGAAGCATTAACAAAGCAAAAAAAAAAAAAAAACAACAAAACAACAAAACAACAAAAAACCCTATTCCTTGCATTCTATTAAGTCCTATCACATTAAATCATAGTCCTTGCATTCTTTAGCACCTTGCTTTTCTTACTCAATGCTATATATCTGAATTGCTGCACGTAGTTACAGTTTATGCCCTAATGCTATATTAATATACTGTAATTTATCTCCCTGTCCTATTGTTGACAGCCATTTGGGTTATTTTCAATTTAGGAGTGCTGTGAACAATACTCCCGTGAGCATTCCCGTACATGTAAGACTCCTTCAAGTGCACATGTCTTTAGAGTGTATTCCTGAGAGAGGAACTGCTGGTGAAGGGAATGTGCATCTTCACGTATATGAGTACTAGATAATGCCAAGCTATTTACCAAAGTGGTTGTGCCAATTCACACTTTGATCACAGTGTATCAGAGTTCCTGTTGCTCATCATCCTTATCCACACTCAATATTAACCGACCCTTTGGATTTTTGCAAATCTGGTGAATATGTAATAGTATTTCACTGTGGTTTAAATTGGTATCCCTCTGATTCCTAATAAGCTTGCCCACATTTTAATATGTTTATTAGATATTTGGATTTCCATCATTTGGTGTTCAGATTTTTTAAAACCTGGACTTTAGATTCTGGTCAGGACATAGAGAAGGGGCCCCAAAACTAATATATAAATTTAATGTAATAAAAATAATTCATGGAATTTTACAAAAATGATTTCAAATTTCACCTACAAAAATGTGTGAATAATAAAGATTTTTGAGAAAGAATAAAGAGAAACTTGTATCCCATGTATTAACCTACATTACAAAGCTACAATAATTAAGATTTGAAAATCACAGAATGTAGATGTTAGTACATAAGCATACTTAGTTTATGAAGAATACATTTTAAATCAGCATGAAAAGGCCCTTATTAAATACACAGTCTCAAAACAATTACTTAATAATAGGACAAAAATAAAGTCAGATCCTTATCACATGTGTTCACTCAAAATAATATACAGCTGGATTAAATGAAAAAGTAAAACATAACAATAATAAAATATTAGGTAAACATATCTAGAATCTGGAGGTTAAGACAGTTTTGCTAAGAATAGCATCAAAGGTAGAATCCATAAAGTAAAAAGATAAGTGATTTGAGATTATTTTTTTAAAGTTCTTTATGTCAAAAAATGTCATAAGACAACAGCAAACTAAAAAACAGGAAATCATATTTGTAACAATAACTTACAACAAACATGATACACTAGGGTTTAATATTCCTAATATATAAAAGCAAGACTTCTTCATATAATCAATGAGAAATATTGAATAGGAAAGAAATATTAACACCCTGATAGAAAATGGGCAAGGAATATGAACAGGCAATTTACAAAAGATGTCAAAGAATGCAATTTTAATATCACAATGTGGTATCATTATTACTTATCTTTTGGGGAAGATTAAAGATTCTGATAGTGCAGCACTGGTGAGGATGCAGGGAAGTGAATATGTTCAGACACTTCCAGAACAAGTAGAAATTGGTACAAACTTTCAGGAGGGAAATGCATTAGCATATATACCCTTTAACCAGAAAATTTTTTTCCATTAATTACTTAATTATTTGGCAAATAAAAATTGTATATTCTTATTGTGTACAACATGATTTCTTGAAATATGTACATTGTGAAATGGCTAGATCGAGCTTATTAACATATGCACCACTTCACACACTTTCATTTTTTGTGGTGAGAACACTTAAAATTTGCTCTCAGCAATTTTCAAGAATAGAATATTGTTATTTTTGAATAAAAATTTATCAAAAGGGAATAATTAAGTTGCAGGACATAAGCTAA